AATCAGGGTTTAAATTATATAAATAATACATTTTTAGAACATTAATATAAATCCTTCCCGATTACAACAGTAATAATTCCTTAACGAAAGAATTATTCGTCAAATGGTTTTCAGATCTATTTAAGTGAAATATTAACATTACTGAGTTATTAGCTGAATGAATTAAATCCAATACATTTAATGCCCTTGTACCTATCTGCCTTATGTTTGTGGTAGTGAATACTAACCCCATCGTAAAACAAATATTTGTTTGAATTAAGGATCAGCAAACACGAACAAAATTTATTAAATAAATTTCCAAAAAGGAATAAGTTAACATGACAACGATAGTTAGTTAACTGCAAGAAAAAATAGTATTACTTATAATTGATGTATTATTCGTATTATTATAAATTTGCTATTGTAAGTATAATTACGTTTCATTATTTTTACAGAGCTTTAAATTTGAAAAAAAAGATTTCTTATGTATTCTCCCCAGAGAAAAAATCACCGAACGTCAATTTTATGACCAGACCGAGGCGAATATACTTTGTATTTTGCGCAATAGAAAATTGGCATAAAATAGAAAAACAATAAAAATAAATTATTTAAAATGTATTTTTTTTTAAAAACTATAACATTTTTTTTTAATTCATTTGTAATTCTTTTGAGCAATGGTACAAAAACTATCTGAAGGTGAACGAAATCAAATAGTTGGATCTTGGAAAACTTAAATTGGCAAAATCGACAGTTTTTAATGTTGTTAATCGATACAATAATACTGGAGAAATAAAGAAGTTGAATACCACAATTATTAAATGTTCGCGATATGTGTCATCTATTGCATATCGTTAAAAAAGACCGTAGATCAACGATAAATGTTTTGTAAAATGAATGTTTACAATCAAACATTAATTAATGTTTCAACACGAACTTTGCAACGGTACCTTCATGAAGAAGTGTTTTATGTTCGAATTAGAAAATCATTTGTTAGCATAATCGATGAATCCTGTTTTGAATTTATGTCATAATTATGTTTTGAGACTCTCTTAAACCAACATTTAATTCAGGTAGAAAGGGAGTTATGTTGTTGGGATGTTTTACTGCGGCTGGCTTGGGACCGTTAGTCGACTCGGTGAAAGACAAACATCAGATAGTTGTATCGAGGTTCTTAAAAAGCATTTGTTACCATATTTAGAATCACTGATGATTACATTTTCAGGATGACAATTCTTCAATTCATTAGGCACATAAAGTAAGTTAGAAAAAAATATTACCTAAATTCCATGGCCTCCTCAGAGTCTTGATCTCAATCCCATCGAAAATCTTTGGGATGAATTAGAACGTCGGGTTTCGTAGGCGTACTCCATTACCAACTAGTGAGAAAACTTTTACTTTTTTTCAAGAGAAATGGTTTTAAAATTGGTGAATCAATTTATAATAGACTTTTAATAAATATGCCTCACCGTGTTGAAGCTATAAAAACTCTAAAGAATACCCCACAAAATATTAAAAATAAAAATAAACATTATAAATATGTAGCTTCGAAATATACAATTTTTTATTTTTTAAAAATTAATTATCTAAATTAACAATTCTATTATAAAGGAATTTTAAAATTAACTCAAAGGTTTCCGGAGAAATATTTGTTCTTTAAAGATAAGAATTCCATTTGTCTTTTCTGCCCTTTCTTTTGAATATGCCGCTTTAAATATTCATTTACGGTACGTACCACTCGAAATTTATCTACTAAGGGCAAAAATTACATAATGCCGGCTGGAATTGTACATTAAGGGAAAGTTTTGCGTAGTCCTGTAATGTTACAGCAACTAAAAAAAAAGAAATTTATTGAACGGACTCTGAATGAATGATATAAAAACATCTTAAACTATTGGAAGCTGATGGAGTAAGTAAGGAATTCCAGATTTTAATGACCTTTTCAATTTTATTGTCCAATTTTAATATAAATGAAGTATTTTCATTAAAAAAAAGTAATGCGAGAAATAATGTCGAATCGATCGAATAATTTATTAAACTAATATTTGGTAAATATGGTGAAAAACAAAATTCAGGGAAAGTAATGCATTTAATTGCAATGTCGTTCCTTCATATTCAACTTGAATTTTATTTACAATACTCATAAAGTCCATATTCAATTATACAAACTATGGCTAGCCACCGCATCAAATTTCATAAAATTTTTTTTGATTGATGATTTTATATATCAAATAAATCACGATGTAGTAAAAAAAAAAAGTTGTTTTATGACTAGATATTCTTATAATAGTAAAATCAAATAAAAAATATATTGATTATTTTGTCAAATTAATTGTTCACCGATGTAAGGAACTCATACAATGAAAAGATATAATTACTTCCTATAAATATTTTTGAATTTTATCAACTATATACAGCTTATAAATAACAAACGTGAGCGCTACAAAGATTTTTAATTAATTTAAGTAATTACGAGTTAAAAAATATTTTATTTAAAAAAATAAAGAATTAATTTTAGACTAGTATATCTAAGTGTGTGAAATGAAGAATAGCTTTTTTTAAAATTATAAATTTTTATAAAAATTAAAAAATTGGAGTTGTAGTAAGTCTTTTTTAATCTATATATTTTTAGTATAAAACCACATAAATATCAGTTTAATGTAGTAACGAAAAACTTAATTTATTATTATCGATTTAATTTATTATATTTATTTATTTTTTATTTTTAATTTGTTAATGTGATTACAAACTGACTGACTAAAATAGTTCAGTGTTCAATAAACAAATATACTAAATAAATAATTAAATATAATTAATTTGTCATATAATAAAATATAACATATTTTTAAAAAAAATAAATAAATAAATGATGATATATTTTCAAATAAAAATAATCAGCTTTTATAAAACTTTATCTATTATAAGAAAAAAATAAGTAAATTAGATATATTGAAAATATAAATCAAATGATATAAAAATTATAATTACCTGTATTTTGATTAAATTGTATTTCGATTTAGAATTTCATTTAAATTTGAGTAAATTCAAATAAATGACTTGAATGATATGCTTGTGAATGTGATTTGATAATAGGAGAAATATTACTTTGATTTTGAATTAAAGCTTTATCTGCTTTATAAAATTCTAAAACTTCATTTTTAAATTCTTTATCAAAATCTTTAATATTAATATTTGAATACCAATTTTCAATGATTTTTTTAATTTCTAATGCAGTTGGTCTTTTTAATACATCATTATCCCAACATCTTTTCATTAAATTTATATAACATTGTGGAGTATCTTTAATATTTTCAGGACGTTGTTCATTGCAAATACTTATAGCAAGATTTTCATTATGAGCTTTATCATCAAATGGAGGAATTCCAGATATAAATTCCCACATAATCATAGAAAAGCTATATATATCACTAGCCATAGTATAAGGTTGACCTCTTAAAACTTCAGGTGCTATAAATGGTAAAACACCACAAATACCATTTGTTTCAGATGGTTGAAAATAATTTAAAGGTTCACATAATCTAAGATCACTAATAGAAAAAATATTTTTTGTTACATTTAAAATATTACCATGATGAATATTGCGATGAATAAGATTTTTTTGATGTATTTCTTCAAGTCCACTAATAATATTATGCAATTTTAACAACTTTAATATCCATTGATCTTTAACAATATTTGGTAAACATTTTTTTAAATTGCCATTTTCTGCATAATTCATTATGACTATATAATTTAAAGTATTTGGATCTTGAGTAAATCCATATAATCGAACAAGTCTTTCAGTTGAATATTTTTTTAATTGACTATAACAATTATAATGGTGTTTCCACTATAATATAAAAATCGGTTTAGTATAATAATAAGTTCAAATTAAAATTAAATTATTAATATCACACCTCATTTAAAAATTCCTCATTTTGATTTGAAGACTCATTAAGATTTATAAGGGCAATATTTAATTTGTCAGATCGAACCCATTTGATGTCATTATGAACATATACTTTTAAACTAAATCTATATCCATCTGACCAAATAGCTTTATACACGGTACTAAATTCCCCTTTATCAAGATATTCAATATTTTCAAGTTTGTTGTAAGGAATCCATTCTAAAACTTGTTTTTTATTTTGAGCATTAATTTGAATATTTTGAATAAATTCATCAATAAACTTATTTCTACTAGTCCATTTAATAAATTCTGTTTGAAACTGTTTAGAACTACATTGTTTACACCAATCGTATCCAGTGTTTTGTTCATTGCATATTGAACAAGTTCCTATATTTTTTTAAAAACATTCATCCATATTAGTTAGTCAATAAATTACTCCATATAGTTCATTAAATTGAGAGATTACAATTAAATATAAATAATTTAATTCAATAAATTATTTTTAATTAATTTTACATGACGAAAATATAGTTTGATAGATTACCGTAATTATCTAAAACAATAAATTTTTATTAAGAAAAATATAGCTTATTTAAATTGCATTGACGTTTATAATTAAAATATAGAAATATCTTACCATTATAATCTATACATAAATATTTTTGTTTAGGTATAGATTTAGTTTGTTTTAAATTATAGTAAATTATATAATTGTTAACAAAAAAGCTTACCATCATCATCTAAAATAAAGTATTGTAATTATAAAATACGGTAAACAATATAATTAAATTTGAACAATAGTAATAATTACCAATTAAATTACCAAACATTTCTTTGAATAATAAATCTAAATCATGTAATAAATATTTATATTTTTTAAGATAAATCTTTTACGAAAAGGTGTAAGATAAAATAGAATAATAAGCTTACGATCTAAATTGTTAATTTTTTTGAATAAAAAAGTTTTTTTAATTTTAAATTTATAACGATATAAATCAGTCAAAAAAACAACTAATGAAATTAGTTATCTTACTTTCTATAGTATAATCAATCGTTTAAATGTTTTCGGATAGGAATTTGGTTAGAATTTAAACCATAGAATAATATTTCTTATTCAATAAAAATAGCTTACTCCCTATAAAATTATCGAGATAATTTTAGTTGAATATAAATTTTATATGTAAATTACATTAAAAGAAGTATAACTTACAATCTGTGATTTCAATTGTTGAATATTTCGTAAGTAAAATTTATTGTTGAAGTTGATATATAGACCAATGTATAAATTCTCTTTACCTTCTAAACCTTCTAAAGTAGTAGTATCCGAAAGTAGTTCTAGTGCGTAGCAAATTTATTCGTTTAAGAAACATTTATGAAATCGTACCGTACCGTATCTAATTTCATTTACCTTTATTGATATTGTCGGACATTGTTATAAAATTTCTAAAGAAAATAGAATGTATTTTGTTATGTCGATCATTATTTATGTCCAACCCAATGGTGGCTCTGTTGTAACCCAATGCGTTAATGTCCGAAATGCGCAATTGGGATTCCCAATTGCGCATTTCGGAAATTAACGCATTTGGGTTACAAATAGCACTGATGCGTTCTATCTCGAAAAAAATCGTCAAAAAAAAAAAAAAAAATTAAAAAAAATAAATTAAAAAAGCAATTTACTTAATAAAATAAAAAAAAAAACTTAAGAAAAAGCAAAATTAGAAAAAAAATTCAGTCACCACTGGATATAACGAACCCTCCGTTCTGTAGGGTTTGGTACGATAATTTTATATATTAATTTAAGTCATTTGGCCAACATAAGTTCGGATGCGGTATATGGCATTTTACTATTTAATTTCAGTATATTCAGTGCATTTAATTATAAAAAATCGGTTCATGTATCACTTGGTTCGATATAACGAGTTTTCGGTATAAACAGGTTCGTTATACCCAGTGGCGACTATATACACATTTAAAAAAAGATAAAATAAAATCATATCTTACCCAAAGAAAAATTTGAAAATTTTAAAAAAAAAAAAATTCATGAGCATAGAAAAGGGCGCAAAATTTTTATTATTTCCATCATTTGGTAAGAATGTTGTAAGATGAATAAAAGTTCCCTGGCAAAATCTTAAGGTTTTGACAGACGTCAAAATCGAAACTATTTTTTAACAGCGAAAGTATCTATCAAATCTTCAATTTCGGTTACATCTTACTTGAATTTAGCTTATTAGAACTTTAATAAGAAAAGCTTGTGAGAATTTTTTATAAATATTTTCATTATTTCTGACTTTCTAAATTAATCTCCAAGTAAAAAATACACAGCATAAATTTTAATTATGTTTCTTTTATATAATATCTATCATTAAAGGTCAGAACGCTGAAATTATGATCAAAGTAGTTCTTTTTTCATAAGAAAAGGGGGAAATGGCTGGAAAAATAAAAAAATGAGTTAATGCTAAATATGAACTTATTTTGTTCTAAAAATCATATTTGTCATATAAAATAATATTAATTTTTCCGGCAGTTTCTCCCTTTCTATTGCAAAGTCCCATATTACCTATCCTTAAAATTATTACGATATAGATAAAAATAATTGAAATGCAAAAAATAAAAAATTGAAACTACCTAAAACTAGCATAACTATTAAATTCGTCGAAACTATCAAATTAAAGCCCGTTAAACTGTTAAATTATTTACGAAAATTTTCAAGCATTGCCAAAATGTGGTTAAGGTTTGCACATAACCTTATTGATGAAATTAGATAATATTGTAAGTATTATTTTCAAGGATAACAAATAATGAAAGAATTTTTATTAATTTGTCTAAATGTAAGTTTTAGTATAAGATAAACCTTATTTATAAAAAATGAAGCATTTTAATTGTAAGATTTGAAAAATAAAAATTGAAAATATATATATTCTTTTAATATTCTTCTTAAAGGGCGTTAAAAGATATAAAGTATATTGTAAAAATCGATGAATTTTTATAAAGGCTCAATCTCGGATCGAACTAAATATTTAAGTGAAAAAAAATATAAAAAATAGTTTGAGAAGGTTAACTTTTTTAATTTGTGTGATGTTTTTATTTTCATTATTTAAACTTGTTATTTATAAATTTTATAACCTTATAAGAATTAATTGTAGAATTATTTTTGATTAATATTATTTAGAATTTAGTAATTAGTTCAACTGTCATTAAAAATACTTCAAATAATAGCCAATAATTTTATCATGACATTATCAAATACTAAAGTCAAAATTATTTAATAAAATGTCTTTTAATATGAAGGGTGTATCATATAAGAGAGGAAAAATTTTTACGTGTCACAAAATTTGTCAATACTTATCGTTATATATAAAACCCTAATTAAATGTGGCGTAACCATTATAATTGTGTGAAACAGAAGTTTTTATATAAGAGATCATAAATAACTCTTTTTCATTATCCTTTCTTACTTTGAAAATTTTTAAATGGCCATTGAATATTTTCCTAGATTATCTCACAACTTTTCTCAATTGCTTGACGATGCAGAAGATTTTGATATCATTATTAGTGTTGGAGAAAATTTAAATATCAAAGAGTTTCATGCACATTCGGTTATCTTGAAATCTCAATTGCCTTATTTTAAAAGAGCTCTCTCGCAGAATTGGATTACAAAGAAAGATAATGTGATTTACTTTAACAAATCAAATATTACTCCAATGATTTTTGGTATGATTATAAGGTAATAACAGTTCCTTAAATTTCTAGATGATTTAAAATGTATTTAAGGTGTTATGATAGATATTATTATTGCCAACATTTTATGTTCTGCATTACATAACCAAGAGCTTACAAATGAAATTAACCAACAATATTAAAATTACGAGAGTGTTCACTAAACTTAAACTTTTGAATTATTGTTTCTTTTTTTTTAGATATTTGTATGCTGGTAAACTTGATTTAAATGAAAAAGCTGGCTCTAATATTCTTGATCTTATTTTAACATCTGATGAATTACAACTTGATGAATTGGTTACCTCTATACAAGAGGATTTGATTAAAAATCAAACCAAATAGTTACAAAAAAATTTTGTTAAGGTCCTTCACACAATTTTCCAATTAGAAAGTTATAAACAACTCCAAAATTATTGTTTAAAAATTATTTGTGAAGATCCAGATCCTTTTTTTGATTTACCAAATTTTCTGACATTAGAAAAAAGTGTTCTACTTGAATTAGTTAAAAGAGAAGATTTACTAATTGATGAAATTGAATTATGGAATTATCTTATGAAGTGGGGGATAGCCCAAACTTTGAAATTGGAAGGAAAGATGATGACTAATTTAAGAAATTGTAGTAAAAAAGATTTTATGACTTTAAAAAGTACTTTGAATCAATTTATTACATACATTAGATTTTTCGATATTTTCACAAAAGATTTTCATAAAAATATTTGGTCTTTTAGGAAAGTGTTACCTGAAGCACTCTTTGAAGATATTATTTTATTTATTATAGTTAATACTAAATCTAATCTGTATGAATTAGCTCCTCATCATGTAAGAATTACTATTGATTCATTTATTATTAAACTAAAACATGCGTCTATTCTTGCTAACTGAATTTAACAAAAAGTTTCTAATACAAGAATTCTAAAAGATAGTAAATATAACTTTAATCTTGTTCATCATGGTAGTAGAGATGACTATAGTATCAACAATATTCCTAAAAAAAAGAATGTCCAGAATTTAATAGGTAAATGTATTGAAATAATAATATACAAATTCTAAATATTTCTATTATCTAGAATATATTCTAAATCTTGTGAATTCTAGATATCATTTTATCCAAAATATGTCATTATCTGAAATTTCAATGATTGATTTCTTTAGAATGCAAAACTGGACATTTTTTTGATATTTTCTGATAATTTCCAGATATAATCCTATTTTTCAGATATTTTTCAAATATTTTTCAAACATAATTATATTTTTCTGAACATATTCCATTCTTCTGAATGTTTTTAGACATTTTTATTATTCATAATATCAAATTTATAACTTAATAATTTATTAATATTTAATTTAAATTTATTTATTTATTAAAAAAATATAAATAATTATAATAAAATATAATAAAATACAAATAATTTATAATAAAAAAAGTACTATTTAATATAATATAAAATATAAAAGAAAAATGATAATAATATTTAAAAAAATAGTTAGTAATATAAATAAAGTAAAAAATATAAAAATAAACATTAGTAATATTAGTAATATTTAAAATAGTAACAAAAAATAATAAAGTTAGTAATAATAGTTAAAAAAAATAAAAAAATAAGTTAGTAATATTAGTAAAAATATAAAAATAACTTTAGTAAAATTAATAATATTCAAAAAAATAAAAAAGAAAATAGATATAATTAATAATATAAAAGAAAGAAATAAATATAGTTAGTAAACTGTTAGTAGGTAATAATATTAGAAAAATAATATTCAAAGAAATAAATATACTTAATAAAAATGAAAGAAGAGAAAAGAGAGAATGAGAGAATGAAAAAAATTAAAAATAAAATAAATAAAAAAAAAATAAACAAAAAATAATTTATTTTATTTTTTTTTAAATGCGATAGTTTTATATAATCTTTATTAAATTCAAAGTACATATAAACAAAAGTAAACAAAATACAAATTTAAAAAAATACAAAAATCTCTATCTAATCTAAATTAAAATAAGACTGACCCTGCATTTTCCCAGAATCTATTTCTAATCTAGGTTAAAAATATCACTTTCTAGTATCAAACTAGATGAGAAAGGATTTGACTATTACGATACTAAAAATTCAGCCAGTAATATTTGAAATAGACCATTTGATCAATAAAACTATTGATAGTAAAATTAGAAGAGACATGTGTAAAATCGTATTCTGATATTGAAGTGTTATCAATTTTTGTTTATAGATCAATGTTGTTAGATTTCTCAAAAGTATTTTATTAAGAACATCTGTCAATCCAAATTGTTTGTATTTATTCAAAGATGTAATGCATAAATGCTGATAACATTATGAGGACAAGTTCATTAAACCTCATAGTATCCTTTACAAATATATATAATGATTGAGAAATAATTTCTTTGATAAAAGTAATTAAATATGGAGAGCTTTCAATAGACATATGGGGCCTTTGCAATAGAAAGGGAGGAAACTCCAAAAAAATTAAAATTTTAGTTTATAAGCTAAAAATGTTTCAAA